AGGAAAAGAAAGAAAAGAAAGTAGAAAACAGGAGAAACGACAGAAAGGCAAACTACACGGAAACGTATTACGTATGCATCAGCGAGATGTTAGGGGCACAACAAGGCGCGAGAGCTTTCTAAAAATTGAAAGGAACCCTTTTAACGCTAGCATCTTTGATGCTTCGACCTTGGAACGCGCCAGTCTCTCTACCAGGCTGAGTTTCCTGTCTTCTTTATAGCTGTTTCTATCCCGGGCGACCTCCTTGGAAAGCAACCCTACAAGCGCTCACAATACACACATCTGCATACCGATTCACCGCCGCGTATAGAACCGTACGAACGTGCTGGCTCCGCTTTTTTCCACTTTTTGCATTCTTCCTTTCCTCGCTCTTTCTTACCTCTCTTACCTTCCTTTACCTTGCCTTTTCTTCCACTTGTGTTCATCATCTTCTTCTTCATCTTCGTGTCCTCTTCCCTCTCTACAAGGTTCTTTCCTGGTTCGTCCTGTCTCAACCTTTCCCACCTATCAACCTTTCCTGGCTGCTTTCTCTTCTCGACCTTCTTTCCCTCTCTCTCTCTCTCTCTCTTTCTCTCTCTCTCTCTCTCTTCAGAGTGGTACCAGAGGCAAGCAAGGCAGAGAGGCCCTCTCTCGTTATCGATTCGCGGAAAACCTCCTCCATCATTTCTCTACCGCCCCCTTTTCATCCTCTGTGTCTCTCTTGTGCAACGAAGCGGCAAAAATCTGTCTAGAAATTCCTCGTACTCGGCGATCCTTCGTTACGAGAAATATCGGCAAAGAATCTTCTACTTATTCTTCCTCTTTTTTTCTCTTGCCTGCTCTTTCGCTGCCACTGCTGGAATGCTAATCGAAGCTTGAGCATGGAAGCTTGTTCGTGGTATTTCAGCAGAGAAAGCGTAGATGTTTTCGGGTAATTTTGCGGATCGATAGATTGGGAATTTAGCATGGAATCGGTCGATCGATTTATCCATCAATTGTGGATCACGATCTTTCGTTTTTCACTGTCGTTTTCATTCTCATCTGTAATGCAAATGATGAGCATAGCGACGAAAAGCGTGAACGTCGATGCTTAAAGAAGTACGAACGAGCAATTATCAAAGAATTGTACGCGCATGAATCGTGTAAATAATCCTAGAAATACATAAATTTCGGTAATAAATTTTCTAGCTTCTTGAATTTTAATCCGCTTAAGCTTAAATTCTAATACAGAAATTTTCTCTCCATTACCAGAAATAAAATTGATCATCTCGTCACTCGTATCATTTTACCTTCGAGCCTCTCAATTATCCTCAGAACAATAGGTTCGAGTTTTCTTGAAGATGTACCGCACCCGGTCGCGTCTTCTGAAAGCTGTCGAAGCGTGAATCGAGATGTTTAGAGCGTATCGTTTCAGGTACACGCCGTACGTTTCACGTTTCTTCGAGGATGATGCACTAATCTCGACCGAAGGATCGTCTCGTGCGTGGAACTTTGCTGCCCTATTGATATCCAGTTCTACAATAATATTTTATGCAATGAGGCCAGCATTAATGAATGCGTGTCACTGACGCGAGAGGTACTTCCCCGAAGGCGTAAGCGATTTTTGAAAAGACATCAAGAGCCACATAGATTATTTCTAAAATTCTGTAAAATTCTTACGAAAGTATTCGTTGATGCTGGAAACCTACAACTTGTAATTTGTACAGTTTCATTGATAATATTACTTTAATTGTATACAAGCGGACTGGGAATTTTTCTGCTTTTGTGGGAAATTTAAAAATGTAAAATTGCACAGAATGCAGATAATAGGAAAAAGTGTGTAAAATATTCAAATAATACTTGGTAGGTAAGACAATTTTCCATCGAGATTCTAATTTTTTAATTATATCCTCAAAGATATTAATTTACGCAAAAATTCCCAGTTTACGCGCACAGAATCAACGAGCGAAAAAATGTGGAACGTCAATTTTAACGAATTTTGAGTTTAACATTGTTTCGTAAGCTGCCATGTGCGCTCTTTGTCGCTGGCTGTGTCGCGATTTCGAATTAAAATTCTCTGAGTTTTACGGTAATTATACAAAATTGAGGTGTACAACGGTGGGGGAAAAAATGGGGAACGTGAAAGAAAAGCAAGTAGGCGAAATATTTCGGGGCTCGCAAAAGTTGGAAATAGCGCGGGATAAAATAAAAAACGAAACGATGTTCCATTTTAATTTACGAGAAAATATGAACTCGTGATATATATCGAAAAATAAATTTCCGTTTGCTCAGCAATGAAATTAATGCTTGGCGTTCTCCCTTTTTTCGTGCCACAGTCCCTTCGTATAAGAAACTTGTGACAGTTAATTTTCATCTGAATGCTGTTAATTCGCAAAGAAACCAAAAATTCTTGCCACCGACATTTGACTAGTGAACAAAGAACGAGTTAATGAAATGCAGATCTCGCGAGAAAGTAGCTTGCCGCATGCATAAGCGATTTTTAAATTGTTACCAAGTCATCAGGGGATGGAATTACACCGTTTGCATGCTTTGACGTTTTCCTTTTTCTTTCTCCTTTTTTGTTTTCTTCTTTTTTTTTTCTTTCTCCCCCAAGAGTTCTCCACTTGCGAGGATACGTCGTTTCTCGTAGAATCTTGAGTTGGATGTCGACGTCGGTTTCGAGGAGAGTCGTGGATCGTCGATCTCGCGGCCACTTTTCTGACACGTAGCAAGGTAACGACGTGCAAGCACGGGGTTGCGGCGACGTGCGTCGCATACAAGCGAGCGTTGCAGAGAAAATTCATTTCACCCCGCGGCCTGCTTCTCCTGTTTTTTACCCTCTCGACGCGGATATTACGTTGTAACGTTGCTTCATGATTGCATGGCGACGCGTGCCGTTGCGTTGCCAGGCGATCCGTTACACTGACGCACTTAATTCTCCCAAGACGTTTCCTTTGGAACTTCTTCTTCTCCAATTTTATTCGCTTCTTCTCGGCTATCCGATACACGACAATAAAAGTTCTTCGGTTATTAGAATTTACAGAGACGCAGCTCAGAGTTAGGATCGTTTAATTCTCAATTGGTGTAGTTAGTCGCTTAATTCAGCCAAGATACTCGCTTCGCAACTTCTTCTTCTTCTTCTCGAATTTCGTTATCGTTATGAATGTTGTCTTGTTCATTCGACAGAAGGGGATAAAAATGATTTATTTTAAAAGAATATATAAAGATGTAAATTTAAGATTGTGGTTTCTTTCTCGTAATTGATACCACTAACGGTTCTATAAATTTCAATGAAGTCTCAATGATCAATGCTTAATCTGCATATTTAACATATATAAAGTGTATAATATGCTTTAATTTCTTGGGTAAACACGAGAGTCGGATAGAAACTAAGACATTAATTCGTTCAGTACATACAGAAGCACATGTATTATTACCATATTTAATTATTCTTTCTCGTATAATAGCGAGGGTGGTGAACGACACGCGATGCTTTAGTGAATTTTACAGCAGATCCTAGATGGTTGCGGATGATAGAACAAACTGTTTTACAGCTGCTTAAATTGCATCGCGGTATAACAATATCCCGTTTATACGGAGAATTACGCGTTGAAATATTTGATCAACGTTTCGAGATCACGCTGATACACGAGTCGAGTTCGGTATGATTTAAGTCGCGGATAATGAAAATTACCCGGGGGAATCGCGTTTCTTTGTTTACTCTCGCTGGTATTTAATCAACCAGCCCATGGAATTATCTGATAGCACGACGGTAGCGAATGAAAGAAAAAGTCTATTCCAACTGATTCTATTCCAAATTGAATCCAAAATTGATGGAATTTATCGAAATGTAACGTAAATGAGACTTTCGCGACGTTTGAAAATTCCAAGAAATAATTGAAATTATTGCACAGTACTCGAGAAAAGGTTATTATATCGACACGTCGAATCGGTATAATTTCAATTTCTTCGTACAGACAGAAGATATATTGCGCGATCTTTTGCAACGCTTGTAACAATAACAGGCAACTATCGTCGCACGATATTCATCAGAAAATTAATCACCCTTCGACGACATTACGTGGTAATTTCTATCGACGCGTAGCGTCTCCCTGGAATTCAATTAGTTTTATTAATTCATCGATCGGAGAATTTTGCGGGGCGATGAATCGCGTCGCGAATTTCCATGATATACGCATATAAAAGATTCGAACGTGAGATCGTCGTTTATTAAAATCGTGTGTATTTCACGAGCACGGCGCTTGGTACGCCGCTTGTTCGGGCACTGGGCTTTGCGTTTCAATGCAGACGTAACATTCTTCTGCAAACAAAAAGAGAGAGAAAAGCACGATGGAACACTGAAAATCTCGTAAATTCCAGCCGCTAAAAACAAGGTGCTTCAGGTTTCGTGATTTTGTTCGCTTCATCATTGGCACGCTCCTACGCGCGAATGAAAATATTCTCGCGACGAATGAATCCTCACAAATTTTTTTTCGTCCTCCGTTGAATAAATGAATTATGTGTATGTAATTGCAGATTATGCGACCAGGCTCGACACTTTGACTGCCACGCCGAAATCACATGTTTCGCTGAGGACGCTACGGGAGTGTTTTTATTATTCAAAGCATATACTGACAAAATAGTAATAAATCGATGATGTAAGACAACATTCTTGCCCAATGGACCGTTTATCTTATTGGTGGTCACGGGTGACCACCGTGG